CTGTCGGTTGAATGTTGGCGCACCTTGGAGTCGCGCAGCTGAGACCTGACCTGACCTGACCTGATTTTGGTCGGCGTATTCGCGTGCACCGCGCACTTGGTCTCCCATCTGCATCCGCTCTGCTATAAGAAAGCTGACACCAAGCCATAAAAAAAATTCAGAACGGGTCGATACATGGTTGGCGCACGGCTGTGTGTGGTAGCCGGCGCTCATCGACTCACTTATCGTTTGTTGTATGTAAATGTGTAAACTTTGTCCTGTGTTGGAACTGAATATGGCAATACCACTGCGGGTTCTATTCGCCGAGATTTGTATCAGTTTCCGACCCGTTTTTTCACGTTTGGCGATTTAAGGCTGCTACGTTTCCCACGTCAGTCATACGAATAGCTTAAACGGTGATAATGTTTCAACTTAGCAGTTATACGCCGCCTTGCCAAATCCTTTGCATTAAAATGTCTGGAAGATACAAGTAACTTTTGAACAATTGCGGCATCTGTTGCCGGAAATGTATCAGTGGTGCAAACAGCGGCTGCAAAAATGTGACCTCTTTGAGTCCGTCCCGGGCTAAGCTGGGCTGCGCTGCCTTAGCCAGGGTAAGAATGTATCTTTCCTGTCACCGACGAAATTTGGAACGGCCTGAATTGTCACCTGGAACCAAATCCATCACATACCGTTGCAATGTAACTATAAAAGCGATAAACCACGCAAAAGAAAGATAAATCAATTGTAATGCGTCATGAGCATCACAAATCACAAACGCCGGGCGCCATGAATGTTTTCATTTCGGACGGTTTATTTGCACTAAAACATCATTTGCTGGTCATGCAAAAGTTCCGGTGATTAGCACGTGGGTCCTGGTGCATGAGTGGCCGGCGCAGCGGGCTTAAGGCCAATGAGCACGGCCGTTCGGTTGAAACCTATGATGTGGCATTTACGGAGAGAGGCGAGAGCAAGCTTGGCCAGTGGCCGCTTCACAACCATAAGTGCCCTATCTTACGACATATTTTGGCAATGTCAGCGTTGGAGAAGAACCCCTTGCTAGGTTTAATTCATCCATAAATATCACTCTCCACCGCTTTGTTGTAGGCTTTGCCCTCTTTTTGATGTTGGAAACTGCGTTGCCATAGGTTGAGAATTGTTTTGCTGTTTTAGGTCTTACACATTTTTCTATATCTTTAATCACTGCGCCTGAAATGAAATTCCAGTTTTCCATATTACCTAAAATTCAGATTTTTTGCCTTTACAATCTACGCCTGGGCAATATTTGCTCCTCAATCCAGAACCACCAACCACAAATCGAACACTGGATAGCCTATTTTATGGCTTCGGTCACATGAAAGGCGGGTCAATTTTCGCGTAACGGGCCCTGCTTAGCGCCATTGACTGATTATGTTGGACATCGGGCGCTGCGACTTTTTCGTTATATGACGACCTTATCTTGTGTTTCGCACAATTCTGATTTCAGGGTCGCTCATGGAACAAAATCGCGTCTTTTTAAAGCGGCATTTGGGCGGTGTACATGTATCAAATTGATTTAAGTCAAGTCACGAATCAAAATACAATTTAACTGTATTACGTCCGCCCCTGTCATTTCCACTAACCTGTCAAACATATTCACGCGCAGCACAACACGTGTTCCACATATGGACCTGGAACCTAATGACTACACATCACGAACTCGTGAAAAAATAGAGGAGGGCGTGAAACACTTGTTGCATTAACCCGCACTGTGCCATGATTGTCTGCACCTTAACAGAGCGCAATACCTCGCTACAGTGGCGGTGGGCCGATCACTCGAGCGTCACTCTTTCGATCACTGGGACTGTCGAATGTCCGGCACACGAACGGGCGGATGCCGGCACAGAAAGGGCCGCGTGTCCGGGACAGCAGCGGCCATCGGGCACAGCAGAGGCTGCGTGTCCGGCACAGGAGAGGTTGCGTGATTAGCGCAGGAGAGGCCGCAATTCCGATGCAGGGCTGGGAAGCGCTGGCGCCGGGCCGCGGAGCGTTTAACCCTCGCCTTGATTCACTGTTTTTGTTCATAGCACGGACTGCGGGTGAGTGGTGGCAGCGGGATCGATGCGACCCTCTTGTAGTTTCCCAAGTGAAAAAGACAGCGTCTTGCGAAAAGAACGGTGGATGGACCCCAACAATATCTCGCGATTAGCAATGAGTTGCATGTTACCATAACAAACATTTCCACGTTACCAGGGCAATAATTGACTCCATTAGACCACGTCAAAGGTCGAATTTTCCTGAAAATCTAGGTTTTTAACACAAGCTTTAAGGTACGGGATAATGTTCTGCAACCACGTGGAATTGAAACATGCGTGTTTCTACACATGTTTGTGATAAGGGATCCGTTAAAGAGAGTGTGTCTGATGTTCTGAGTATTTTAAGTACAGGCCTAAGGGGAGTTTAGCAATTATCTACGGTTCATTTTTGTTTCTAAATGTGCATTTGGGTGATGCAACAGTTTTAATCTATTTATTTTTATCGATCGCATCGATGGCTGTGCGTGGCCAAATACAATCCTAAAAGATAAGCCAATCAGCGGGCAGGAAAGGACGAATGCGCTGGCTTATATGTGGCGAGTAACTGCGCGCTGGAGACATGACCATTATGTTGGTTGCTAAGCAGCGTACGACAATCACATTTCCCTAGAGCCTGGTACAACCGACTGACACGACGCAATACTTGTTCCTCATCTTAGCATATAGTAGACCGACATGAACTGGTGCGTATCAATTGACCAGCCTTACCATGTGTCTAAAGCCGTATGCTCGAAGCCGTTAGCTGAGTGTAAACACAAACAAGTCAACATAACGGCCGCCGCCACTGCCGCATTCGCAAACTGCTGTCAGCGCTGACAAGCGACATCACCGGAAAACCATTGGCTAGAACTAACACCTTCTGAATGATGTCGACGTGTTTCGAAGTGAATATTGCTTGGGAGCTACCCGATAACTTCGTTCTTCCACACAAACCAAAGAAAATTCGGGGGCTGTGACAATATGTCGTCAATAGAGGCGAATTTAAAGAAACCAATGCACCAAAATTTGTAAATCAAAAGTTCCCTACCATCCTACGTGCACAGTCGAAAATCCTAACTTGACTATACACACTTCCTTTAATGTAGCGGTGTTAGCACGTCGCGCGCGGCCCGCCAAATCGTCAGTTGCCGCCCGTCGCCCGCGCCAGCGGTGAATCGCCATGCGGTGTTCCTAAAAGATAATACCTTCTCAAAAACCAGCACTGCTGGGGGAACGTCTTTTACGTCAAGAAAGTGCAATGGATGCTCCGGAGGATAGTGCAGGTTTGGGCGCGATTGCGCGACATGCCGGAGAAGTATCCTCCGAAAACCCTTGGGAGTCGCGTGCCAAACTAACCGTTATGGGAGGTGTGGGAGGCTGTGCACGGTCTGCCGGCCTCGAACCTCAAGCGTTTCCACGAGGCCCGCGCCATCGCGGATCCAAAATCAGGTCAGCAGCAGCTGTAGACGCGCGTTCCGGCCAGGTCCGTGTCCATTCTGCTAGAATACAGAGACTGAAGCACGCATCGTATGGTAGTCATAACCTAACTCTGCACTGGGGACTGGGTCAAGCCAGGTTTTATCCTGGAAATGAAGCTGCTGACTGCCTGGTCAGCAATGTGGTGGTTTTCGAGCAGGCCACCAATCCCATCGATCCGACCTAGGCGCGCGTGGATCTGGTGCGGCACTGTTGATCTGGATAAGGGCAGAGTCGTGGTGACCCGCGCTCAAGCGCCGCAGCCGATGCCTGGATCTGACCCACTCAAGCTCATCACTGTCTCTCGGCAGTGGATGAATGAAATTCAAACATATGCACACATTTAATTCAATCCTTCGTCTGGACATTAGGTCCAGACTAGTGTATCTTGTGAAATAGGCCGATTAGAGGGAGTGTCCCGCCTTTTGTTGCATTTCAAAAACATGCGCTTGTGAGACCTCAGGAATGGTGGGGGCTAAGAATAACACTGGATTGGCTCATTAAAACATCGTCAAGGCATAACATGGATACCAATTTTAATTATTTTTGAGTCCAAACTACGCTGTTAACGCTTTGTCAACAGCACTACACTCCTGTGCAGTCGCGATCACCGTCAAGTCAACCACCGTGCGCACCTCTACTGGTGCGAGTGAAAGAACGTTTGTGATTGGCCCAGTGGGCAAAGGCCTGTTACCGAGAAGCGCATTGGTTGAAGTTTGAACTTATGCATCACAAGGATCATGTGACTTTCCCAGTCCCACAAGCCAGTGTGCCCCGAAAAGGCCACTATGATAAACGTCGTGGGAAATAGATCAGCGCTGTTGTTTACTGTATCGTTGAATTCATGGGGTGATAGATTCTTGTTTGCTTATTTTTGCTCAGACAGGGTGTTTCAAGCTTTCGGAGCATCTACTGGACACACATTTCGACACATAAGCGTGTTTCAAACATTACCGGGCACACTCGTTGAAAGAGTGGGGCAAATGAAATACATTACTTTCAAAGTGGTAAGCAGGAAGTCAAATGAGATTGGTCCCGCAGGACAAACGAGATTTGTCCCGCAGGGTAGGCTGTTTCGGATAAAATAATCAGGATTTCGGAAAAACAGGCACTACTGATCAAATTGTACGCGCCTGATGCCACAAAAAGTGAAGCACAACGGCGGAGGACTCCGTTGAAACTACAGAGAAATATTCGCCAGCCCCTCAGCACGGCCGCCCCGTAATGTTTCTCTCCTCGTGGTGGGAATTTTACGCTGTATGTGAAAGCCGAAACGATGCAGGTGTGTCTCGAACCCATTGCTTCTGCTACTCGTGAAACAAACTTGATCGGCGTGCTCATCACCAAACCACCAGGTATGCATGGTGTGGGAGCAGCTGAATGAAGGACGTTGCATTAAACGGCTCGCGCTCTCCTTTCATCAATGTCACTGATAATGATAAGATTAATTTTCTTTCAGGATACGACAGCTTTGTTTCACACTGCGCCACAGGCTGTAAAGCGATCTGCCCGTGATAAGAAAGCAAACGTGAAGCTTCGACGATAAAATTGTACTGGCATTCCCCAAACGCATGAATCAAACGAGCAAGATCTGAAAGCCCTGGGTAGATCACCCTTACAGCATATTTGATGTCGAAGATTCCAGAATAGCATTCGCTGCTCCCTGCATGCAGAGGCTCAGACCTGTTTAAAAGACCATACAACGAGAGGTTCTACTCGATTTTGTGATACCGATAGCCTATGATGTCTAGCAACTCGGACAAAGCTCCACTGCTATTGAGCGAAAACAAGACATCAGGGTGCAACTATGGAGCAGGTGATAAAACTGAGGCCAATGGAGAGACATTTGTCACAGCATCAAGTTCCGGCGGCAAAGGGCCTCAACCAACTGAAAACAAGATGTCATGGACCCAGAAGAGGCTGCTGGTTGGTTTAACTCTGGTGAGCCTGTTAAACGGTTCCTTAATAGCGGTGATGGTGCCGTTCTTTCCGGTGGAGGCGGCCGCGCGAGGCGTCTCACAGACCCTCATCAGCGCCGTGTTCAGCTGCTTCGCCGTCGCCCAGATGATTGCCAGCCCCCTCGTCGGCCGGTTGGCACCCGTGGTTGGCGTCACCCGGCTCTACAACATCGGCATCGCCACGGCCGGCCTCACAACCATCACCTTTGGCACGCTCAGCTACATCCACGGCAAGGACGCCTTCGTGGCGGCCTGCTTCCTGGTGCGACTGGTGGAAGCGGTCGGTACGGCGGCCGTGTCCGGCTGCGCCTTCACCATCATCGGTAACCAGTTCGCCGACCGGGCCGGCATGCTGGTGGCGTTGGTGGGCGCCGCCCAGTCAGCCGGCCTCGCCGTCGCACCGGCCGTCGGCGGAGGCCTGTACGCCGTCGCCGGCTTCGGCATGCCCTTCTACGTCCTCGGCGGCACGATGGTCGGCGCGGCCTTGCTCAACCAGTGGATGATGCCGCCGCTGGTCAAGTGCGAGAGGAACGCAGTCCCGTTCCTCAGCATGCTGAGCATGTTCGGTCAGTCCTCCAAGAACTGGCTGTGCCTCATGATTGTCTTCCTCTACTCATTCGTGTTTCTGACGTTCGACGCCTGTGTGGCGCCATACGCCAATGACGTGCTGGGCATCACGCCATCCACCCTGGGACTCTATTTCTTGGTGGCCACGACAGTGTACGCTCTGACCAGCTTCATGTGGGCCCGGCTGTCCGAGCACTCCCGCAACCCCTACGTGCAGATGTCGCTCTGCCTGCTGGCGACGACAGGCAGCCTACTGCTAATCGCTCCTTCGCCGCTGCTGAACACTGCACCCCGCTGGTGGCTCCTCGGCCTGGGGCAGACGCTGCTCGAAGGCTTCTTCGGCGGTGCCTACATCCCATGCTTCTCGCAGATGCTGCAGGAGAGCGTGCGGAAGGGCCTAGCGGACGATCTGGTGACGCAGGCGTTTGTGTCGAGTGTGTACTGGACCGGTTACTCGCTTGGCTCTGTGGTGGGTCCCGTTTCTGGTGGCCTTCTTGTGGACGCTTACGGCTTCCCCGTGATGATGACCTGCATGGCTGGTCTGGCCCTGCTAGTCTGGCTGCTGACTGTGATGCAGGCCGTCGGGACGGCATGTTCAGAGGGCCGCAGATGCCCCTCAGGGAATGAAACGGAACCACTCTGCAGAGCGTGAGGTAAGCCACGTGTATTTGGTTACGCGTGACGTACCTTATCGGTCGTTAACGGGCACCTCAAGTATAAGGACCTCGTGACACATCGCTGTGAAACACGTTAGCACCGCTTTGAGTGGGTGTTGGCTTAGGCTCTTGTCGCCTCTCCGTACAGAGTGCAAACCCTATGCACATCGAACAGCCACGCCACTTTTGAGCTGTTGGTGACCTACTCGCGACTTGACAATACAAGCACAAAAATATGCATGTTTTCCTCGAGCGTCTCGGGATAGACAAGGCAGGATCAGAGCAGCGATCCGGCATGTACGCATGCATAGGACAAAGCTCACATAAAGGGCGGCTAAATTGTTGGGTGATGCTGGTGTCGGATTAAATGGACGTAATGCTTAAAATGCGTCACATTGCACTTAAGATTCGTGAAATGCACAACAATGCTACAATCCGATAATACGCATAGTGAGGCTTCTTATCGAAAGCTAGCGAATGAAATTGCAGAATCATTAACAGTTTATATTTGTTTCGCGGCGTTCACCAGACCAACTGAATTCTGCCCTGCAATTGTTAGATTGGCGGGCGTGATGGTGAAAACCATCGCCTTGGGCACTTGTGGCAGGTTACACTGCATAATGTGCTTTTTATGGTTGGTCTGTACTTCATACTGATAAACGGTACTGTTATAGATAGCGCCCTGTTTAAGCCATGTTGAACAAAACGCTAGATCCCCCCTGTCGTGATGTTTCCGCATCCGCCCTTGTAGTTTTCAAGCGTTTAAGCGTGTGACTGCACGAAACCAAATGCAAGATGTTTTAACTTAGAGGTATAAACCTGAACAGGCTTTTCGTATTTCAGTGAATAACTAGGCATACCAGAAGATCTCAATAAACACGCTAAAATGCTACGTGTTGTATCAGTCCTTCTCAACAGGGACTGAGTGCGGCAGGGAAGGATTCACGAGTATGGTATTGATGTTCATGAATGAAATCATTTTGCTTCTTCTGGAATTGTTTGCTTTTTAATGGCGCCAGCTATCCCAACCCACGTATATCTTGTTCCTTTGTCCTTTTAGTGGCAGTCTTGGAGTCCCTGGCGGTAGCCATTTCAGGAGCTTCTGACGTCTTCTCGCCCCATATCCTGACCGTCGTAATGAAACCTGTGACGCGTGAAACAATGACACTGCGACGGCTCCCAGTGGAACCCCCGCACAGCATCCCGGACCAAGGCACAAACGAATACTTCTCCGCGAAATTAACGTAGGCCATCGCCTCCACAGTCGCCAATAGAACCTTCAGCCGCGCACAACACGTGAGCGACACCTGGACCCGATAGCGATGCTTCTATCCGTCGGTTCAATGACCTGAGGTCGCCGTTCGCCTCTCCATCATATCGTTCAGCAAACAGCTGTCCGTGATATTCGACTCTTTGCAACGGGGTGTCATCGCCGTCGCCATCTTTGCTTCTGTCGACGTGGGGAGGGGGAGGGGGAGGTGGGTCGTGCGTGCTGGATTGGGGGCCTCGATGGGGCCGGTGTGAGAGATCGTATTGTTGGCGCGGTACACCGCGGCACGCACCAAGGGAGCAAAGATCGTCGACCCAACCTGCTGCCAAATCCTGAGGCCCGAAACGATCTTCCCCTTCCTATCAGAAAAATCTCGTCGGGCTTATTAAGTTAGGTTAGGTTAGGTCAGGGTAGGTCAGGTTAGGTTAGGTTAGGTTAGGTTAGGTTAGGCTAGGTTGGGTTAGGTTAGGTTAGGTTAGGTTAGGTTAGGTCAGGTTAGGTTAGGTTAGGTAAGGTTAGGTTAGGTTAGGTTTATTTAGTTTATCTATTTTCCAAAGAAGGAGGAAACGAAGGCAACACCCGCTCAGTGGTCGGTTCGCCAGAGCCGTCACAGTAAAGGACACAAAGCACCTCCGCACGTCCTGGTCCGGGAACCCAGCGACCATATTCGGTCATGAGCTGCCCACAGACCGGAGGCGGAGGCAGCCTCATAACAGTGAAACTGGATGGCACAATCAAACTGGATGACCCCACGTCAGAGATCGGCAGTAACGACATTCCATGCAGCGCTTGGACATAAGCATGAACGTTTTGCGCCTGACAAGTTTGACAGTTATCGCCACACGTCAGGATCTGTTTATCCAAAAGACGCTGTTGGTTCCCTTAAGGCGATACTAGATTGCTTAAGTGGAAACAAAATGTTGATACGTAGCTACATGGCTGTGCTTGAAAAAAATTACTGATTAAAGAGGGGTTCTGCAATTCAAAGTTCTTGTAGAAGCCATTTTGGTCACACGTGCGCCATGAGGTTGGCGTTTTGCACAGCAGCAGCCATGATAAAAAATGTGCTAAGTGCTGAAATACATTCTGAGTAGCCCAGTTTGATCTTGCTTCGAGCTTTACCTAAAAAGGTACTTATGATCGACTTTGGGCGTAGGTTAATCATGGAGAGATCAGTTGGTGTTAGTGCATGGGCCCAGTCAGGGGAAAGGCCGACAGGACTCGGGCCCCTTCCTTAACCCTATATTTTTTTGTTTTCCACCCCAGAGCTCCCAACAGAAAGTCTAGAATCGGCTTGATGCGCACCCATCTAGCTCTGGGCTCCTTCCTTGAGAAAATCTTGGCTGTACCCTTATGTCGTGTGCATTTTACTGAAATGGTGATTATGGGAACAAATTGACAACTTCATGCGTCGATATGCCTTCGACGTGCAATGTCCCTGACTTTGATCCCAGTTCAGAAACATGGTATTAGATTTCTTGCTGAGAATCGTCCATGCAATTGAATGGCCTTTGTTGCATGCCAATATATTTACCCAGTCCGTATATATGAAAAGGTACAATGCCCAGTGGCATCCATTTTTGCAAACTTATGAGCATTAAGTGAGCTTGAAATGAAATGCAAGTTTCTGCATACCAAATCTCAAGGCAGATCATGGAAGAAAAGCCCACAAGGTCAAGATGTTCAAAAGCAAAGTAAGAAACTGGAATTTCCAAAGTTTTCCTGCACCACAACCAGCTCACGAGTAACTACGCTCTTTCGGTTGGGAATACACGGTTACCAATTACGGCACACCAAAAAAAAGCCCCGCGGCTTGATTTGTTGAAAATGTCCGAGCGTGTAACTTATTCAATGCTACTTAGAGGTGTCTAAGATTCGAGCAGACGTTTTGACGGCGGCGATGAATCCAAAACGCCAATTTACGATCAAATATATTTACAGATTTTGTAAAAAGATATGAGCGTGCAAATGCGATTTTTATCGTGGAACCCCTTCCTACTCCCCTCCGACCATATAGCGGCAAGTAGAAACAGAAATGGCTCGTAGAGATGCCTAAAGGGGATGTTTCACAGTTGTAGATACTGAAGCAAGCACTAGAGGTGAAGAAATAAGCTCACCGTCACCTATTTGTATCCTTTTAGGTGGAAAAGACTGCTCCAGATAACACCGTTTTTCCGTCGAGTAAATATGTACCTCCATGCGTCATCCTTGGGTTACGTCATCGTACCTTGCACAACATTGATTAAGACCCAGTTGACGGCCGTTATATTTGGAGATCGTTCTCGAACACTAGATATGAACGACTCGACAATTGCATTTTTCTTGGCCTTGATCGCCGCATGGCTAAGGGAATGACGGGATTTTAAGTGCGTTATTTTATCGTCATGGATGCCTGGGTGACCTCGAATGAGTCTCCCCAAAATAATCTGACATCTTAGCTCAGAAACTAAAGGGGTTTGTGTTTTAAGAAGGGCAGGGCTCTTAACTGCACCGAATGATCTTCAAGATGAGTATTTCAGCTCAAACTCATATGCAAATGTGGAATACTCCCTTAGATATTTTTCAATGGGGCTTTCAGGGAAAACAAAACTGACGTAAACAGGTGGCCAGAAGCAAACAAATGATGATCCGAGCAGAAACACTGACTACTAATCTTTGGCCAACTGGCCATTAATCGGTTGGCTAGCTGTAGGGAACAGGACCAGGCTAGTCACTAGCAAGTCATGAGGAAGGCATTTACCCTTTCGAAAAATACGTGCGCATGAACTGATACCGTTAAACTGGGGTGCATAAATCCACTCCGTTTACGATGTTACATGTGAACCAAGGTTATGAATGTCTTCAGGCGATAAATGATTACTTACATTTTAGCTGACCTTAAAAAAACAAAACTACTTTGTGCGATTAACCATCGCCCATCATACTAGAAACCTAGACATGCTTCGATTCGCAGCGCCTTTCAGTATATGTCTTGATATATTCAAGTGTGCATAGTTGAAAATCCCCTTGAAAAATCACCTGAAAAGTGAACTAAAGATGCTAGTTTCAGAAGTACTTTTGTGATCAAGGTTTGGAAAATTTTGTCGACGCGTTCCAAGCGATCTAAGTTCCGTGATAGGTCGTATGTTGGAGCACACCAGGGAAGGCAGAACCTTAAATTGGGATGAGACCTGTGCAACGTGCAACATGGTGCAACATCAGGATGTCCTCTTCAGGCTTAATATCTAGCTGACACCTTTCCAGAGCTCGCAGGCTGGTTGATTGCTTGAAGGCAATTTCCACTAGGTAGATTGAGTTGGTGTCCAATGAAAAGCAACCCATATCGTGTGTGGTTACATGGTATCTTAATTTATGCAAGCAATGCATTTTTGGCAGGATATTTTTGTGCAGTATGGATCTGTGAATAATAAGATATATGAATATCTGATGTGAATATGCCATGGGAGTATTTTGTAAATGAGGCAAGAGGTGGTCCGCCACACTCACGTTCCCGTTGGCATAAATAATAGGAAATAATTGAAACCATTCCTCTTCTTTGGTATTACCATAGGCTTGTTGGCTGCCAAAGTGGTATTACAGTCTGATTCTTCAAAACGGTCCAAGACGGTAAAATATAGCTGAGTAATGGACAAGCTGCATGATCGAGACTTAGCTTCCTTTTTCTGGCTGCAGATCATGCTAACCTCGCCTTGATAGGATCCCCCTAATGTTTTGTTGAGGATTCCTCTCCGACATATGTTGCAATCCCGTCCAAATTTTGGGAAGCCTATGCAACATTCATTGCGCGTGTTTTGACACCAGAAACGTATTCCCAGCTTTTTTATTTCAGAAAGATGACGGTTTTTTACAACTGCATGGCGATCTACGACCGGCGTGGGCGGCGGGCGGCAACTGACAGTACTGCGGAACGCACAGCGTGCCGTCATGTACATTAACGGAGTCATA